ACTAGATGGACCTTTGTTGGCAAAGTAATGTCTCTGCTTTTTAATATGCTGTCTAGTTTGGTCATAGTTTTTCTTGAGGTCCTCAGCTTCCTTTCAAGTGGTTCAGCAACATATCAGGACTAAATATTAACAACTGTTGATTTCAGGTATAGCATATTCACTGTGCTATTCTTTCCATTTTGGGTTTGAAAAGTTCATTATAAGAGAATTACGAGAACATAGAAAGATGTGGGGAGGCGGCCAGGATAAGAACCATGTAGATCTTGTGCTCAGGAATTTGGATTTTCACCTAAGCAGAAGGGATTGTAAGCCTTGGAGTGGCATGATCTGGTTTGCCCTGGCACCAAAGCAGTTGCCTTGGATGTCCACCGTTAGGTTTTGCAGATGATAGAGGAGTCTCTCTAGAGGCCCACGGGAGCACGTTTCTGATTCTGATTCAGTGAACATTCCCAGCCAGGCACTGTGTGTGCAGTTACGTTACCTTCATTAATCTCACTTAGACCGCATGAAATCCTGAGATGTCCTCAATATTATCCTCAATTCTTCAAAATGAGGAGACTGAGACCCGAGGTGACCAGCTAAGGAGTCATGAGCCAGTGGGGACAGAGTCCAGATCAGTTAGAACTTTAGCCCTGGGGCAGTGCTGAGTCATTATTCCACTTTTCCTAAACCAACCTCCAACATTAATCATAAATGATAAATTAATTGATTCATTACAAAGTTCCAAAGTGATTTTTCTGGAGGCAACTGTAAATGAGGAGTGCTGTCACAGAGCAAGGCTGAATTGAACTGCACTTATGGGCCAATGGACCCTGCTTTTCTCTATAAAAAAGATCGCCCACCAGAGACCCACAAGCTCTGCCTGGCCCTCGGAGATCTGCAGCTGTGGTACCCGGGGTGGGGGCGGCAGAACCCACGCTAATTCTCAGTCACACAAGGACTAATGATGCTTGTGTGTCTGTTTCAGCCCATCACAAATTACATGAAATTCACACATTTAATCTTTCTTGCCCTCTTATTCAAGAGAGAACTATTGGTGTATTGTTAGGCCACGAGACAAACCGTCACTGTTATCCACATTCTTAACTGGAGGCAGCCTGACTGTCTTTCGTTAGCAAAAATTCCGAATAAACATCGTTGCTCTTTGAGATCACTCATAAGCAGCCCCCAGGAGACTGCAATTATACCCGTTTATAATTCTCCTACCTCCCAATCTAACCCTTGATTCATGAATGTGCACTTTTGGGCGTCAGGCGTTAGAATAAATTAGACTATACAATTATGCGTAATTAAGGAGGGAAATGGGTACCGCGCTGCAAAGATGAGCCCTGTTTTGCCGAAGTAAAGCATGTCTATGTCAGCGAGCCAGCCCAGGGAGGCAGCGCGAAATACAATTAATGTTCTTTAGACTTAATGGGGGTTTATGGTGCTGTTTTTCATTATCACAAAATCTCAAGAAATGTAAACAGCGTTCCTCTAGTGCAATGGCAGTTCTACAGACAAGACAGCTGGGTCTCAGCGAAGACTCAGCAGAATCAACCGCAAATTCACAATGTTATGGATAGTGCTGGGATTTGTATTTTAAAACCGGTGCAAAATGGTCCCTGCTGAGGAGCCGAGATGTTCCGTTCCCAGCCCCCTGGGGGTGACTCTGCAGCCTCTCCAGCTTTGTAGCAATAAGGTCACAGCCAAACTCCCGTGGGTTATTACAGCCACCTGTGCCCACTTCGGAGGCTCGCTCACATTCCCAGGCCTCCCCTCTGTCGTCCGATTTCTACTCTTCTCCTTCACAGGCCAATTTGTTTGAGACATGTTAAAAGCCTGACTTTTACAACCCTCATAAAATCCCATCCACTCCAATCCAAAGGCAGCCAGCAGTGCTCGGACAATCAGACTGAGTTTCAGCCTCTTGATGGAGATAAACACACAGCAGGAATGATTTTTTTTTTAATTTAATTGTTACATAGGAGTGCAAGGAAATGGAAGGGCATTCTGGCCAAGCCAGGTAGATAGAACAAGATGGGCATTCTGCAGAGAGGGCTGCCAAAGAAGCCGCCAGAGGAAGAAAGGAGGCTTGTGGGTGTAGAGAGAAAAGTCCCCTCGAGGTTAAACCAACGAGGAGGTGGGGAGTGGGGAGTGGCGTGAGGAGCCTGAAAAGCCCGATTATCCAGCCAGGACCAGGGCGATCACAGCGAGAGATGACGTCAGGGTGAGGAGCGACACAGAGGAGAAAGGCTGTCCCGGATGGTGGGGTTGGAGGCAGGAGAGGCCACAGAATCAGGAGGTGGGAGGTTCTGGGAATTATCCTGAGCCCCCACCCAGGTCCCCGCCCAGTTGTGGCTGAGCGACTTTCCAGGCTGGGGGGCATCTGAGCCCCTGAGGCCTCTCATGTTTCCCAGGAGGAACCTGCGCTCCTGAAAGGGGCCAGGAGTCCCCACCTGCCTGCAGGGAACCTGGGAAACATAGGCCAAGGCCTCGGACCCAGACGACCGTGGGTTTGCTGAAAATTACGGGGAAAAGAACGTGGCCAGAGGGCACTTTGCAGACCCTCGGGCCTCGTGAGTGTCTGAGCTGGCGAGTTAAGTCCTGACCTGAAGCTGGATCCACAGCATCTGCCTGCAGGAAACACAAGCGTGCTTGCACACGCACACATTCAGAGGCATGTGTATGCACACACAGAAAAGCACTCACACACAGGATCCATCCCCTTCTTCCTCAAAAAGGAAAAGAGGCGAGCCACAGACATCACCATGTTTGGTCTTTGAACAGCATCGGCTGAAAGAAGAACTATCCAAAACAGATAATCAAATGACACCATCTCAGCCCGGCCTACAGCCCCACGTAGTCAATCGTGAGCTGCCCCTCCACCGCTGGGGTTCCCTGATGAGCAGACAAGGATGGAGGAGAAGACTGTGGCACAGCCCCTTTAGGGAAGGGAGAACCATGTTCGTAAACGTGAGGCCTCAAGGAAAGCAATGTGGTTTTAAATTTTTGGGGGATGGGATTCCCCTTGACCTCTGAAATGCTCCCCAGAACCCAACACAAAAAGCAGGCAAAAGGCAGATCTCACCTCCCTCCTCCACCCCTCGCACCCAAGGCACCCCCATGGGGCTCTGAGGTCCCAGAGAGAAAACTGTTGCCACAGCGAAAACGTGTCCCAAAGTCAGGTACCACCTCAAGTGGGTCAGAGGTGGTCAACTTTGTGACCCTTGACCTTTCTGGGCATCAGTTTTCCTGAAAGATGAAGAGGATTACGTGAGATAACCTGCTGTAAACACTTGGGCGTGAGCCATAGAACTGCACTGTCCAGTAGGGATCCCCTACTGGGATCCCCTAGCCCCACGGGGCTGGTCGGAATTGGGAGCTGCTCTAAGTGTAAAACACACACGGGATTCCACAGACTTAATAAGATAAAAATTTAAGATATCTCATTAATAATTTGCATATTGATTACATGTTGAATTGATACTATTTTGGATATACTAAGTTAAAAAACTATTATTAAAATTAATTTCACATGTTTCTTTTCTTTTTTTCAATGCAACTAACGGAAAATGTTGAACTACATACATAGCCGGCTTTATGCTTCTCCCAGACATCATGGCAATAGGCACTCTGCAGCAAAAGTGTCCCTTTCACAAAGATGAGGCCAAAAGGGTGGGGCGTCCCCACTATTTTTCGTCAGTGATAGTGAAGAGGTAAGCCTCACAGTTTGATCCAAGGCAAAAAGAGGGCAGAAGATCAGCAACTTCAGTGGTCCCAAAAGGTGAGCCCCAGAATCTGATTTGGAGAGCAAAGCTCCAGGTTTTTCTGATTTACTTGGACTGTCAGTTGATCTAGGGGTGGCTAAGGGAGATTATGGTGAGAGGAGTCTACATCCCCAATCGGGTCAGGATGCTTAATTTGAATTTCAGATAAACAATGAAGAATTTTTTTGTATAGGTACATCCTCATGGACTTTCTGTATGTTTAGTCACTAAATATGTATAAACATGTATAGTCACTAAACCCCAGGTAGCATGAAAGACTGCAGCAGAGAAAGGAGACACCGTGTCGGAAAGTAACAATGGTCTGGGATTTAAAAACATAACTCTGGAGCCAAATGTCTTGGGTTCAAATCCTGAGCCCAATACTTACACCTGTGTGACCTTGGGCCTGTTACTTAACCCTCTGTGACTCGGTCTGCACATCTGTAATATGGGTCTAATAATACTTCCCTTGTAAGAATGCTACTACTACCGGCAAGTATACTGATCTACAGTTGAGTCTTTTTTTCTCTTAGCAACTCAGCTGTGCTTTCTACAGCTACTAGTTGCTTCTCCGGCGTCTCTTTGCCCGCCCCTATCATCCCTGTCCTTTTCTGCAAGGCTGGGGACCGGGGAAAGCGCGGTAGACAGCACCACCTTGAGTCGAATTCCTCCCCTTTTGGAGGAAGCCACTTTCTCCTCCTTTCTTTCCTATTCCCGGACCATTTCTGGGCAACTGGCAGCTATTTTCACGTGAGCTCAAGTTAACGTCTCGAGGAGCTCCGGGGCGCGTGGGCAGTTCACCCTGCGATCTAGCCGCCGGCCCCGGCTGGAGCTCGCATCTCCGAAGACTAACGTGTGTGTTTAGAGGCGAGCGCCGGGCTTTCAGAGAAGGCGGTCGGGTGTTTGCAGACCAGGGCGAGCCCTTGTGAAAGCAGATAAAAGAAAACATTTATTAACGTGTCATTACGAGAGGAGCGCCCGGCCGGGGCTGTCGCAAGCCCCGCGAAACACCTGGCTTCTTCGAGCTCCGAGGGAGGAGAAAAAGAAAGCGGAAAGGAGGCAAGGATTCTTTCTCTTCGTTTCCAGCCAAGTGGACCTGATCGATGGCCCTCCTGACTTTATTGCGATATTTGATTTATTAGGGATGCCCCCTCGCGCGTGTGTGTGTTAACACACACACCCCCGCGCAAGCACGCCTCGGGCCCGCGTCCCTCCCTCATTCCCACCTCCCGGACGAAGCCCACAGCTGTTTCAACTCTCCACCGAGGGCGAGCGGGAGCGAGTGTGTGCCGGGTGAGTGTGCGTCTGTGTCCCGGCGAGGGTGCGCGCTCGGCGCCGGGAGCGCGGCCAGCGGGGTCCCGAGGCATCGGGAGGCGGAGTGCCGCTCCGACCCCCGCTCTCCGCCACTGCCCCGTCCGGGGCCGGACTTCGGGGCCAGGGCCGGACTTTGGCGCAGCAGAGCCCGGGCCAGCCGGGCCGCCTGTCCTTCCAGCCGGAGGTAAAGCGCTCGCGCGCGGTGGGGCGCCGGGAGGGCGCCGCGGCGGGGTCCCCGCGGCGGCCGGCCGGCTGCTCCCCGCCCCGCGCGGAGGCTGGGGGTGCAGGCGGAGGGCCGGGCCGAGCGGTGCCCGGGGGCTAGCTCGGGTGGCGCGGCGGGGCCGGACTAGGGCGATGCGAGAGCGGCCCGGGTGGGGCGCGGACCCGGACTTTGGCGAGGGCGGCGCGCCGGGGCGGGGGCCGAGGGGCGGCGGCGGCGGAGCCCGAGGGCGGAGAGGCGGGAGGAGGCGGAGGAGGGGAGGAGGAGAGGCGGCACTCGCCGGAGATGCGGCGGCGGCGGCGGCAGCGGCAGCAGCGGCGGCGCGGAGTCCCCTGCTCCCCGCTGCCCGGCTGGGCTGCGGCAGAGGCGGCGGCGCCCCGCGCCGGGTGAGGCCGCTGGGGCCGTGCGCTCTGGTGAGTGGGGCGCGGGGGCCAGGTGGGCAAGGCGGGGGCTCCCGGCGGCCCTCGCCGGCCTCGGAGCCAGTGTGGCCGCGAGCGCCGCCCAGGTGAGCCTGGGGCCGGTCCCGACCGCCGGGCCCCGGCCCCAACGCGGAGCGCGGAGGTGGGACCCGGCGGGCAACGGGGTGGCGCCGGCGGGCCGCGGGAGGATGACCGGTTTGACCCCGCTGGCGGGCTGGGCGAGCGGGCAAGGACTTCCCACCGCGCCCCTGACCCGCCGACACGCCTCGCGGAGCCCTGGAGGCCTCGGGGGCCGCGCTCCTGGACTCGCCGGCCGCAGGGGGATGGCCTCCTTGACCCTTTTGAGTTTAGACCCAGCGGAGCGGCTAGTAGCCAGACCACGTGGGGTTTGTCCGGGCAAGACATGGGAAAGCGGTGGACCGGATCTTCAGAGTGGGAACTTGCAGATACCGAAAGGGCAAATAGGATTATAAAGACAAACTTCCTCCCAGGCTGGGTCAGAACCAGTTCTCATCTCCTTGTAGACAGAGGCCCTGGGCGCCAGAGGATTTCGGAAGTATGACAGTGAAGCTGTAGCGATTTCTAAGAGTGTACTTTTTTTTTTTTTAAACATTCTTTATAGTAGTTCATTCATTCGTTCTACAAGCGTTTGTGAAGCACCTCCTGGTGCCTGGCACCACCGTTATGTTCCAGAGAGAAGCGATGAACAGAAAACCTGGTTTCTGAGCAGTGGAGGCTCTTAGTTCACTTGGAGGGCAGCGGGGGAAAGAGATGCAGTCTAAAGGGGGAAACCGCAAGGAGACATACGACACACGCAAATCCTGATTTTGCCCAATGACCTCTGTCTGCAACTTCTTGTCTAGAGACTGAAGACCACTCTGCCTGCACACAGTAGGACAAGCCCATTTTGGCAACCCCCTTTCTCCTCCTCCACCTTCCTGAGAGTTCTGAATATTCCCTTCCCCCTCTCCTCTCTGGGCAGCCTTTCCTGCAGCTTGTTTTAATCACTTTTTGAGTTAAAAGTCAATATTTAATTAACCAAGTCATTACATTCAGCTTACGTTTGAATCTGGGTATTTGCACATCTGTGCATGTTGGGGCGCCCGCCCGCACACCCCTCCATCTGTCCCCTGATTCTTTCCCACAGGGCTGCCCTCACTGTCTTTGCGGCAGAGAAGGAAGGATGCTCTCAAGCGGGTTCTCTGGGGGCCAGAGAAGCAGGGAGGATGGGCTTTCCCTGGAGGACGCCCCACGCCTCTCCCCGGAGCAGGAAGAGCTGCTCTCTTCTTGTAGTTTAATAGAAAAGGGGATTTCTTGCTGCATCTCCACTCCCCATTACAGAGCCACTGGAGGGTTTTAATTAAATTGAAACTATTCATTCTGTATAGAAAGAGGGTGGGGAGGAGACTAAAGATCGCTTACCTGGTGAGAGAGGTTCTCCCAGGTTTGCTTGTCCACGTGTGGAAGCTAGAGCTCATCACAACAGTCTGTCCAGGTGTGTAATTTAGTGTCCTCATTAGCAGCTCGAGGAGAGATGGTGGGCTTGGCTGATGCCTGTTGGATATTTGCATGTGAAGGATCTTCCTTCCTTGGGCCAAGTTTATGGACATAAATGCATGATGTTGGCATGGCTACAGTGGCTGAGAGGCAGTGTGGCTTGGGGCTTTGTGTATATTTATTGGGTTTTTTTAATTTGAGTTTATGGCATTTTCTGAAACCTTAATTACATGTTAAGTTTTCATACTTGAAGGCTGAATGATGAGTTGATTGTAGAAAGCCTCAGCCTGGAGAAGGACCCTGTGGCTCTGTGTGCATGCGTGCGTGTGTGCGTGCGTGTGTGCACGCATACACAAAGGCATGTGTGTGTCCCCTGCCCAACTCTTCCCTTCAGCTGCCATCCTGAGGACCTAGCTGATGTGCACTCACACACCCGGACACTTGAAGATCCTTTGGATTTGGGAATAACATTTCCCTCTTCCTTTCCCCGGATTTGTTTGATTTATCTGTTTGGACCTGCCTCAAGGGGGCAGAGTCTGGTCTCTGGAGTTAGCCAGATGGAGAATCACACCCAACTCCATCCAATCTGTTCTTACACTTCCTCCCCTCAGAAAGAGACTGAAAGCCTTGCCCTGCAGAAGACTATCAGCGTTTCTGACCAGCTCATGGTTAAGGGAGAGCTGAGTCTAGACTTGAGATGACAGCTAACACTTAAGTAGCGGTTCATGGGCCAAGCACCCTTCTAAATCCTTGTGCATAATAACATTTAATTCACACAAAAGTCCCAGGAGGTAGGCCTTCTGATTGTCATCGCGTTAAAGAGGAGGTAACTAAGTCACTGAGAGAATTGTGACTTTCCAACAGCCGGTCAGTCATCAAGCCAGGAATGGCGAGACCCTGGGGCACCAGGGTCCACTCTGACCCACCGTATCCTCCCCTTTCCTTGACCTTGGCCTCCTGTCCAAGTGTAGAAACACCGTGTGCAGCAGAAGAGAACACAGACAGTCAGACTTTGAAAGGCAGAAGCCCTTCAAACCTCCGGTGTTGGGGAGCCTGAGCTGTGTATTTTTAATCTCAGGGCTAGGGGTGCCTTGAGGAAAACACACGACTGCCTGGCCACGTTCCCTCCTCCCTACAAGTACACACACACACACTCTCTCTCTCTCTCCTCTAGTCAGGATGCAGAGGGAACCATCACACGGGGGCTGGCGTAAAAGAGCCATGAAATCTGAGATGAGGGTTTGTGCCCCCGAAGGTAATGGGTGAAACTTCTCCTAGAGGTGCGGCCCTCTTGTGGTTGGTGATGGAGTCGCATGAGCCTGTCCCTGGAGGGTGGTCCAAGGGGGTCCCGGGCCCTTTGTTTCAGGCCTGGGCCCTGTGAGACCAGTGGATGTGGAAGGCGCGGCCGCCTCTCAGGACTCACCTCCAGGCGAGGGAGGCCTCACCCAGGTTCCGTGGGCCTCCTCGTGATGGGCCCTGGTGAGGAATCTGCAGGGCCCCTGATCTGGATTCAAGGCGCTGGCTAATTGGAAGATCATTAAGATCATTATAATTAATTGGCACCCTGATAAATGGCGTGATTGCCTAATTGGGGTGGTTGCTAGGGAACGAGGCCTCACTCGAGCCGGAAGGGGACGTGGTGTGGGGCTGGCCGCAGGTGGGTGTCAGGGTTACCAGCCAGCCGGTTAATGGGTGGGAAGCCAGAGCCATCGCCCCTCGCATCAGCTGGTGTTCACTGGGCAACTGCTTGTGTAAACCACAAGTGGATTATCAGTTAGGGGATATTTTCCTAGAAGGACTGGAAACTAACCAGGATCTTTTTTCTTGTAAGCAACAGAAAGCTGGGCGGGGGGCAGGGTGGGGAGGGATCACAAATCAGTGTTAGGAGAGAAGGGGACTTACTGGCTTCCATGACTGAAAATTGCTAAGGGAACAGCTTCAGGCTCAGCTGAGTCACCGCTCAAGTTCTGGCCTGAGAATCTGTTCCTCTCCATCTCTGCGCTCCCTTCCACGGGGCTGGTTTTTCTCTCCAGCTCCGAGGGGCAGGCAGGCTCTGGCACCACAGTCAGGAGAGCCAGCATGCCCGGCTACCAGCCCGGCTGTGTGATCCACGGCACGTTACTTAGCCCTTCTCTGCCTTCGTGTTTCCATCCAACCAATGACGGTGATCATAGCACCCCTCTCCTGGCTGGTAGGAAAGGATAAAATGAGATCATCGGTGTCAAGTGCTTAGCCTGACATCTGACACAGGCAAGCCCTGGGGAAACACTGACTGTTCTCATGACTAAGGTGTTGAGTTCAAGAGCTGTCCCCCTCATCCTCTCTGCTTTGAGCCCACCAGAAAAGAACAAGGTAATGCCCACCCAAGCCCCAGGCGTCTATCTGATTGGACTGTTTGATGTCACATGCTCTTTTCAAGCTGATCAGTGGTCACAGAAATGAGTTGCTGACCATGGGCTTCAGGCCAGGCTCCCAGGCCCCACCCAGAAGTCAGGGGTTGGGGCAAACCAACTGAAACTCTAAAGCCCCAGGGGACATCGGGAAAAGGGAGGCTGGTTGCTGGTAAGGTGACAGCCGGTGCCTGGGATGGGGGCGGACAGGAATGTGAGAGATCATGGCTGGATGGACCTGCTTCCAGTTCGGTTGAAGTGGGGACCATGGAAACAGCTGCTGGGTGGGCAGCCTCCCCCGCCCCTCACTGGGGTCAACAGGTATGAGAAGCCGAACTTTTCTCCCTCAGTGTCTGACGTGTGCCACCTGGCTTCAATTCTGTGCTTTCTGGTGGCCAGGGGCAGTGTTTGCCCAACCTTCCACCACGAAAGTCACCTGGAGGCTTTTGTTAAAAAAAAAACACCAAAATTCTAGATCCTGCTGAATCAAACTCTCAGGGAAGGCTCTGGCTGTTGGAAGGGAACCAGAGTGCTGTGTGTGTGTGTGTGTTCCATGTTGGCAGAGAGGTGGAAGGAGGGCCCTCGCGTGTGTTTATCTTGTCCTCCTGTCTGTTGCAGGGGCTGCCAGAAGGCAGAGGAAATGCTCTAAGTGAGGTCGGGCATATAAAGGTGTTCTGTGTAGGTTAAGAGGGCATTCCTCTTATTTGTCAGTGCACATGTGTTTACTGAGCAGCTACAGGGCACCAGGC